AAATGTATTGAGTCAGGTGCTTGGAATACCTTGCTCTTTTGTGTGTCCTGTGTTTAAATGAACTTTTTTCTCCTCAGCACCTGCTAAGATCTGGATGCAGGAATTTGGGTTAGATTTCAAGAGGCTTACCCAAAGTGCCTCTCTTAAGCTTGCGTTCTCAACTAAAAATGACCAAGTACTGTGGTAATTACAGTGGTGGATACGTGCAGTACCACTGAATATTTTGGTAGTCTTAAGAACGTCATGGCATCAAATATTTTAGATTCAAAATAAAATAAAATAACTTTTTAGGATTCAGAAAAGATTCCAACAAGGGAGACACTTCGGGTTAAGGAAGGGCTCAGAGTGTCCGAGTACAGTAAGACCTATGGTACAGTTTGGTTGTGTTTGTTTATGAAACTTCTTTTGGTGTGAAATCCAACAACTAGATTATTTTTGATACCCTCACGCCTATGCACGCACCCAACTTTGTCCCTGTTCTATTCAATTCAGGAACTTCAAGATCAACAGAATAATTCAGAGAGAGGTGTGGTTTTACAGTGTCACTTTTGCAATGGTATTATTACACTGATGCATAGTTCTATATTTCTCCGGAGGAATAACACAAATGTATTAACAATTTTCTGTTGCTTTGACTTATTACAAAGTCTTTTTTTCTATTTATCACTTCATCTAATTCATAGGAGTAAGCTTAATGTTTGTGGTTTTCTTAAGTGTCTAAAGGATTCTTTTTGATAGATATTAGCATAAAAATGAGCTCTGAATAATTAGGTGTGCTGGATCTGCAGTTAGAAGTTTTCTCTATTCCAGAATGATCATGCAGTTTTGTCTGGTTTTATGTAGAGCGTAAGACCACACAGTCTTGTAATAGTGCCTAGGCAAGAGTGTCTTCATGCTCTCAGCCTTGACTTTGTTTCTAATGCAACAAGAAGACTGCTCCTGTTGCTCATAGTAACACGGGTAGCATCTCACTGGGTTACAGTGCAGAATAAAGTCACTTATGTGTGTGAAAACACGTGTATGTCTGGTAACAGTTTTGAATAGAAGATATGAAATTTTGAGTGACTGGAATGTGAGCAACGTTAGGCAAGGTGAGTTCAGTTTATTCAATTCTTACAATTTTTTTTTTTTCATCACACATTCTGGGCTTCAAACTTATAAACATGGTTTTCTCCTCCTTGGTTAGATCCAAGTGTCTGTTGGCAAACACCCTAGTACTGCTCAGTGAGCACTTGTTGATTGAATATTTGAACCGCGTGGATGTTTTAAAGACCAAAGTTGGAGATTTAGAAGTGAGTTTGGTATTTCTGCTTAGGATGTCTGATGCCTCTCATTTAATTTCTAGATTATAAATTCCGTTGATAGAACACTTATAAATACCACATTAAGAAGTTGAGCATCACCTTTAGGCCAAAGCAATTTACTTTTTAAAAATTTGATTAATTCCAACACAATCAGCCCGTGTGTCAGATGATTTCAGTACCTCTGATCGATGCTGACAGGTGAGGAAATTAAAATCAGGGAGGGAAGCAATTAAATGCTGACAAACATTACTTTAATGAGACAACCAAGTCCTTCATAAGCCGTGGAATATGTTGTATTCCTAATAAGTATCTCAGGGTGGTGGGTGAGGGACTGCATTTAGAAGTTTTCTTCGTGTGGATTTTGATGATTGGAGTGGAGAACATTCCAGGTTCTAGCATTTCAGCTGCTTCTGGGGTCAGACTTTTAAATTTAAAATGCTATCTTCTTTTGGCTGGGGAGATAGGTCAGTGGCACAAGCGTCTGCCTGGCAAGTACAAGGTCTGAAGTTCAATCCCCAGGACTGCAAAAAACAAAACAAAACAAAACAAGCAAACATACAAAAAATATATTTCTGTCATCTGTTAATTTAACCAGATCTTAGTATCAGTAATCCCCCCAACACCACTAATGCTATCTCATGAAATTTATGAAAATATACACCATTTAGACAGAATAATTTTTGTTGTTTTCCTACAGGTTTAGAAATAGCAGTGGTTTCATTGTCAAAACTTATGAAAAGAGAAATAGAGAATGTCCCTTTTGTACAACTTCTGATCAAATGTGGCCCAGGCTGAACTCAAACTTTCCATCCCTGTATCTCAGCTCTGCCTCAGCCTCAAGGGGCTGGGCTTACAGGCATGTGCCCTGGCACCTGACTCCTGCTGCTGTTTCCATGCTGACACCCCCCATTAAGAAAGAACACCTGGGACAGCAGGGCTAAAGCGCCACCCGTTTACTGGCTTTAGTGGAGATTTTGACAAGGCGTTGCCATATTATTCATTGGTATTATAGCACTTAGAGACTATCAGATATCATGAGTTATAGTTATGCTGGTCTAATGCCAATTTGAATCTTTGTTCTTAAGATTAGTATTAACAGGCGAGGGTTAGGTTATTTAAATTTTTTGTTTGTGTATGACTGAGCATTCAAGATACCCTGGCTTGTGAAAAACCCACTGAAGCAAGCCTCTTTGCTATGTGTACTTTCCTCGCCCTGCCCCTCCCTTCTGCCTTTTCCTTATGCTTTATCATGTCCCTTCTCTTATGCCATTGGCTTCATGTCTTCCATCCTGTTTTTTTTCTTTCTTTTTTTTTTTTTTTTCACAAAACAGCAGCAGAGATTAATTACCCAATAGCGGTCTCAACTAGATGTGCTAAGGGTGGCTTTACCCAGATTCTGACACATAGATCGTAACTTTGCAGGTTTCAGGTTGGCAGTACAGATTATTTCAGGAAGAAATTGCTTCTGAAAATGAGTGTATTTTTCTTGGAAGAGGAAGGATGGTTCAACAAAGGATGCAGCCATGCCAGGTTCTGGGTCAGCAGTCCTAAAATACACAGCGCCAGCCCAGGATATCTGGCTTCATTACCAGGCCAGAGTGAGATTTGTCAGTTGCCCCAGTTGTCTCTACGGATTATGCAGCACTCCATTGCATTGTTGAGAAGGTATTTTTTGGGGGCTGGCTCAGGCTGCCTTAAGGGCAGGTCTGGTAAGGCATGTGGAGCTGGGGATCGAACTGTGGTCCCCTGTGCCTAACTGGGTTTGCCCAAGCAGGCACTTAAACAACTGAGCTAACCCGCAAGCCCGCTGCATTGGGAAATACTCAGGAGCTATGCTCAGGCCATGTGAAGAACAGCTGCAGACTCAGACTGTGTGTTGCAGAACTTTGTAGTTCTTCATCTCAATGCTGTGGTTTCATGCTTTGCCCCAGGACACTGCATCTATGAGACTTCACTGCGGAGAACAGAGAGGCTGTCCCTGGTCTCTCTGCATGGAACACTCCTACTTCTGCTCAGTAAAGTGTCTTCCTCCATCAGACCATGAATGTGAGGTCTTCTCCCTCTTCTTTCACTTGCTGGTGGGGTAGAAGCCAAAAATGAGATGTGCTTGAGAATTGGGACAATGTAGTGCCTTGACAATTGAATTTTGCACGTCATATATTTGATTTCTATTTCCTGAAGGTGTTAATTTTCTCTCTCCAAATAGCATGCATCATCCAATTGGGAGGCTACACCGTGTAGGATGTCTACTAATTTGGGCATTGAGGTCCAAGAGTGAATTTTTATCTGTCCCATCTTAATCTTGTCATCTCTGAAATAGGATTTTTGTATTTGTAAAAGTGGGGTAATAAAGTGTCATCAGGATTTTTTAATGAGGATGATTTGAGGTCTACTGGCCATGTTAACATTTTTTGAACTATAAAATTAAATTTAATATTGAACGATGATTAAGGCTTTGATTTTGGTGGCAGATGGCAAGTTTCTTGCAGGCCATTTTCTCAACCTTGTTCTCTGCCCAATTTGATTTGAGTCTTTTATGAAAATTGGATATATTAGTCAAACTTCCAAAACGTCTCACACTTTTTAATAAATCGACTACATTAAAATCGATTTTTCTTCTTACAGTGCAGGATCTACTGGATCCACCATCTTTTTGAGCGTAATACCTGGTGATAGCCACAAAGTTTAGAATGATATATAATTCACTGGCAGGTTTCCTCTGGAAGCTATGACTTGCTTTCTGAGAGTTCAAGGAATTTTGATTTTCTTTTTAAGTTTTTTAGTACTTTCAGAACAAAAGATATTTATGCTGCTTGTCCTCAGGTGATGCCCTGTGCAACTGACATAGGTAAATGTGGCATTTTGAAACTAGGGAACTGAATTTAAAAAAAAATTCGACTCGATATTCTCCAGCATTGTATGCTTAAAACCTCATCTTCTGATTGTATAAACATAGGTTTATAGGAGGAAATGTCATCATTTTGTACACAATTTCTGTAGATACGGAATAATTGTAAAAAAGCTTAACAGGATAATTTTGGCTATGAAAAAGATATTATGATCCTAATTTACATACAAAAATTATTACTGAGAGAGCTTAAGTAATTTGCCTAATTGTGTAAGAAGGTAAGCGTGACTGCCTCTGTGTCTCCTGTGCTCTCCTACTTCCTCTGGCCACTCAGATAGTTGTTGTCCGTGGTCTTTGATGCTCCTGGTCCACCAACCGTGTGACCAAGTTTCCAATCATTGCTCATTGTCCTTTTCCCACCCCAGTAACCTAGGAGAAGCCAAGTGGGAAGCGTGGGTCATTGGACCAGAGGGCAGAGCCCTTTGCTCCGAACTTGCCCTTGCCCTCCGTGACCTGCTGTATGGCTTGGACTTCTTCCTCATCTTCTCTGAACTTCAGCTCCCACCTCTGTAGAGCGAGGAGAGCAGGGCCAGTGTCTCACAGGGGTTGCGCAGTGAATGAGAAGAGTTGCCTCAGTTTCCTTCCCATCCAGTCTGACCCTCTGTGAGCCACCAGCTCTGTCATCTGTGGGTAGAATAAATCTTTCCTGTTTCTCCATGGGGGCACAGGGGTGAAATGGCATAATGACTGTGGAAATGGCCTATGAAATAACTGAGTGCTAGATGTATGAGCTTATGAATAAAACAGCTTTAATGCTCAGGAGTAACTCATTCCTGTTTCATTTACAGACACTAGCATTTCATTTGCCTGAGCCTTGTCCCTACTGCGCTGTCCAAGAGCAAGCTACCCCAGGTAAGAGAGGCCTTCGTGTTTATAAAATAAATGCTAAGTGACATCCAAGCCGGTAATGTTTAACTTTATTAATAATGTTTAATTTTATTGTCCTTACAAGGAATTCAAAGGTATTTCACGATCACCAAAGCTTGAAAAGTGGCCAGGATGGTGACCTGTCCTTCACTGGTGCCTTCATGATGTAATTTTCCTTTCTGACCCAGAGTTGAAAGGAGCAGGGGGCAATGGGAAGAGTAGGTGGTGAAAAAGCAGCTATGCACACCTGCGACTTTCCAAGATAAATGTAATCATGATGTACTTCAAACGGGAAAACTATTTTTCCTGTCAATTCTTAACTCTGAAGGTTTAATACCGAAAGCATAAAAATCTGGGCAATGCAGATGATTCAGATTTGATGGTTATTTAGGCATCCCGAGAGTGCTGTACTAGGATGTTTTAATGTATTGCATTATTGTATCCCCAGCTAGCGCATGGCAGCAGGTTTTCCATCCAGTTTCCTTGGCCTTCACCGAGTGCATTTTTCGTTATTCTTCAGAGTCAGTCTGCACCAAATGCCTGACTCTGAAGGGACTAAAACATCCTGGTAGGGTCAATCACTGTCTTTTGTATGCCCAGGAAATTGTTGCTTGCAGCAAAGAGTACATTCCAAGCTTGCAGTGACAACTAAAGACTCCGGCAACACTGAACATGAGTGAGGGGCTTTCCAAGTCCTGGAGCTGTTGCACTTTCCTGCCACCCTCTGGGGTGGATTCAGGGAAACAGGCCTTGGGTGGAGGGCTGCACTCATCGTAGCTGGTCAAGGAAGTAGACGCCAAGGGGGAAGGAAGCAAGAGTGATCGAACTGTAAAGTGCAGAAAGTGTGATTTGTTTATCTTGCAGTTAACCTGCCAATTTCTGTACCTCTTAAGGAGACTCTCTCTGTTCGATGTAATCTTTTGGAAGTCTTAGCTAGAAATGGGCCACATCATTAGTACATTGCTTTTTTCTATTTCTTTCTAACTATTGGCCTTGTAGAATATGAGTTTGTAGAATATTTGATATTATTTAGAGTCCTGTAAACATCTATTTTGCTAAATGTCATATTAATGTTTTTGACGTGTTATCTGTGATTTTGAACTGCCAACGTAATTTCAATTGTACAGCCCTTTGGAAGAATTGAAGTTGGTTGGTGTTGCCCCATATTCATAGGACTTAGCAACTTAGAATTGCATGGATATTATGGTTGTTACGTTTCTGTGATTAGAACATGTCCCATACAAACAGCTGGGTGACATATGGCTTGAGAAACTTCTGTCATTAGATTAGACGTAGCAGCCATGTGTTAGATTTTTCTTTACCCTCATTCCTACGAAAAAGTCCATACTGAGAAAAAGGCAAAAAAACCAAACAGCAAAAGCAGCCCCCACATGAGAAGAGTTGCAGCTCATCTCTAGTCCCCCTGTGGCCCACAAAATACCCCTGCAAATATTTTGTTTAAGCCTATTTTTTTTTTTCATGGATAAATATATCAGAAAAAAAAGAGTCCTCTAGATATCACCTGTCATAGCTTTAATACCTCTCAGAGGCAGATACCTAACTTGTTCATGTAAAAACTGCAGCTATCATCCGAATCTTCGCCCAGATGTCAGTTGCTAACTGTGAATAGACTAAGCTTTGAAAAGTGGTTAACTACGTCTCTTTCCCCACTGAAAGCTGTTTTAAACAAGACTTGAATGGTTGCACAAATTGTTATTTAAAAAGAGAAACTCTGTCTCTGCCTACATTTGTCTGTCTCTCTGTCTCTTTGTCTATCTATCATCTATTATCTAATTATCTTATCAATCCATCTATCATCTATTATCTAATTATCAATCATCTCTATCTGTCATCTACCTGTTATCTGTCTCTCATCTCTCATCTATATCTATCTCTCTATCTATATATGAATGAATCTAATCTCTGTGCTTTAGAGTTGGAGGCTAATAGGCAGAGGAGGATAGAAAATCGTAAATACCATTGAGGAGGTAGAGAAGTTACCATTCTGGTGGCATGTGGTAGAAACTTATAATAATCTTTTGGTAATAATTGTTATCAGGGACAGTAGTGAGGAAAGAATAACAGTTTAAATAAATAATTAGCCTGGACAGTAGTCGTGTCATCAGATAGCTACTTAATGAGTATAATCATTGTTTTTCTCTACTTCCAACGTTCAGCCACCAACTGCGGCATGTTCCCTGTCCCACTTCCAAGCCAAATCTATTTAAAGCTGTATTCATGGAATCTGAAATGGTATACCCTGTTTACTATTTAGAGCTGATACCTCATCTTTTTTAATAGACAATCTCGCAAGAACAGGCTTCTGCCCTCCTGAAGATCGAGTATTACCCCTGTTCCTCCGTAGGGTGATTTTTTTACCAGGATGAATGATAATTAATTCTCATGGATTTGTCTATATTGTCAGAGTGAATTACTTACTATAATAGGAGGGAAAGATCCCTTCTGTGTCTTAAATAAGTTTAGTCAGTTACTACCATTACTGACACGATGATGATGATGATGATGAATATTATTACTTTGAATTGGAAGTAGAGGCAGTAGTTATAGTCCTGTACTACATGAAATGTGACTGAGAAGCAAATAGAATCCAGTCCTAATTCCACGTCTGATATCAGCAGGCTGTGTTGCTTTGTGCAGGTCTTCGGCCTTCTCTGGGGTCCCTTTCAGCACCCAACAGTAGACAAAGGTGTGCCAGTTGCTGGAGTTGCTTCCCCTAAAATGTTGTTCTCTGCTTTTCATTCCCAGCCAGTCCTCTCTCTCTGCTGCCTGCCGTGTCTCCACAATCCCATCTCTACTAATAGAGTGAGTCAGAAATCTGAAAATGGCTCTTATTCTAGTTAGCCTTTGCTTCTTCCCCTACGAGGAATGCAGTTAGTGACGCGAATCACAGCCTGTGCCTGGGCATTTACCCTCCGCTTGTCCACTACTCCCATGCGATTTTTATTTTATTTTACTTTTTTTTGAGACAGATTTCTTACTACATTGTGCATGTTGACCTCAAACTGAACCCTGACCCTCTTGCCTCAGCCTCTCTTGTTGGCTTCTTTCCATTTCAAGTTAGAAAGAAAAGAAACTAAATAAAGCAAAACAAAAACACCCCTCCTCTTGCCATCTCTTCCTGTTTTATGACATTATTCCAGCTCTCATTTTCTGAGTATCTGGTGAACTCATCCACTACAGTGTTAAGAAGAGGTGGATTTCTATTTTGTTCAACTTTTCCCTGGTGAATCACTAGACTTAGAAGGAAGGTTCAAATGGGGACCAAGTTTTCTATTTCAGAAAGGGAGATTTGTGGGGCCAGGGAGGGAACCCAGTTTGTCTGAATTGCAGGTGGTCAACCTTGGAATAAAATTTTGTTTTTTGACTTTATACTTATGTCTTCGCTTTTGTTAGGAAGTTTCTTCTGGTTAATGGCCTTCTTCTCCCCAGTGTTTCAAAGGCAATGGTCTTTTGTACAATCCCCAGGTCAGCATTGTGAGATGTCCTAGAGGCGTAAGTGGACTTCAGACATCTTTAGCTGTGTGACGTTGTGGCACAGTGCTTCTGACTGCGTCTGTAGTCTGTATTAGTTAGGAGAATGTGGCTGTCTTTGCAGACCTTTCTCTGAGAGAATGTTTATCCCTGCCTTCAGCACTTTCTCCTCCTCCCACCTTTTGCTCTTTTCTGGGCCAGGGATTATAGGCAGTCAGGGATGAACTCCTTGAGGGCTATTCAGTCCTCAGTCAGCAGTAACAAAGATAAGAGGAGGGACTAACACGCTGAAGGACAAGCGAATGTTCCCTGCACAGTGAAATCTAGGTCAGGACCCGCCACTCCCAGTTGTTGGGGATGCACAAGATTTAGAGTAGAGTGGATTTTTCAGGCCCTTTTACTGGCTTGTTCTCCTGGGACTGGGCTGGGAATGAGAAGCAGCTGGTGTAATCTTTGCCAAAACCAAATCCATATCTTCATAGATTTCAGGGTCCAAAGAAGAGAGTACTAGCTATCCATCAGGTAGAAGATAATGTAGATGTTTACTCTATCTGAACACTTACTGGGATTTCCTTTTTTTTTTCTTTTTCTTTTTTTTGTGGTACTGGTAAATGAACTCAGGACCTCACAGTCTCCACAAAGGTGCTGTTGCGCATTTACTGTGAGCCACATGGATCTACTGAGTCTGAAGTTCAAATCATGGCTTTCGTTAATTTGCTACGGTTTTATTGAAGGCACCTTTCACTGAGCCTCTATTTTGCTCTGTGCGAGATGAGAATTGGTGGCTGGAGTAGATAACGTCAAGGTTTTGTGAGTCTGAGATGGGCTTCACAGCTCAGCAGTCATGCAGCTACGCCAGGCCTTGCATTCAGAGCGCATCACTCGGGTGACTGCTGCGCCACGTGCTTTCTGTGTCATGGGTTTGTGTCTCTCTCTCTCAGGCTGTATTCTTTGTGCCTCACCAGCTGACATGTCACTTCTTGTCAGTGGACTTTATGTGTGTGTGTGTGTGTGTGTGTGTGTGAGCGAGCGCACATGTGTGTGCGGGCACATGCATATCCACAGATATGTATGTCCACAGAGCGAAGATTAGGGAAGTTTGGAAAGCTCAGGTGATTCTGCGAAATATTAAGGAAAATGTGTAGCTCTGTCTCTCACTTCAGGAGTTCAGTAGATACCTTGAAGGACACACAGAGGCTTTGGAATAGGCTAAAGATGCTTTCCTGAGTGGGCAGTCTGAGGTGACATGTGTTTGGCAAACACTTCCTGTTGCTCTTGGCTCTTTCTTTTGGTTTTCCCATTGTTCTGCTCTGACCATCAGCACCACTGAGCCAGACTCTGGACATTCACACATTTTAAGCTGCTGAAAGATACTTCCGTATTGAAATTTTCATTTTGCTGGCTGCATTGATTAATTCACACCCTTACTCAACTGCCCTTTTTAGCCTGTAGTTTGCTAAGTGCTGGTCACTTTTAGTACAGTGCCTAATTTT